TTATTTGCTCATATTATGGGATCTACTTCGATTGACCCTTCTCTTTTGGATGATATCATATGTCGTTTATTGGAGTTTAAGCATGCGAAGCCAGGGAAGCAATTGCAGCTGATGGAAGGCGAGATCCGTCAGCTTTGCACCGTTGCAAGAGAAATCTTCCTTCAACAGCCTAATCTTCTTGAACTTGAAGCTCCCATCAAGATCTGTGGTACGATTTTGTTTCATTTTTTGAATTGGAAAATTGATCGGAATTTATGTTTTGGGTTTTTGGATATTTAGTTTTAGGCTTCGGATGTTTACATTTTGATTATATGTAGGAAAGTTGAAAGCCTTGAAGAGTTTATTTCCTTTTTTAGGGAAATTTGATTGGATAACGGAAAGCATGAGATTTTTTTTATTGAATATTTTTAATGCTATATGTCCTTAGCCATAGGAGCTGCATTGAAGGATTTTGCCTAAATTTCATTAATTTAACATTGATGTTTATGTCTTCATTCATGGTATAATTGATTTCTTATCCTGAGTTTTTGTTTGAAATTGTGGTATATGGATTAACTCTGCTATGCATATCACCTGAATTGCATGAGATTGATGGTATGTGAAAATTAAACCGTTGATGGATTGCTTCTTTTAGATTTTTATAGCCTTTTAATGCTTGAGGGGGAGGGTTGGCATAGGCTGAAATTTAGATAGAAGGATCCTTTAAATTGGTTTGCTGCTTGTCTTTATCTTACTTGATGATGCGTCTGCTGGAAAGTCCTCTAGGTGGAGAAAGGTCTATTGTAGATGATGGATTGGGAAAGCATGATATATGTTAGTGGCTGTTTACATGATGGGATAAGAGAAAATTGTATAAATGATAGAGCCACGTAATTAGTAAGGAGCCATAGCATCAAGGAAGTCTTCAGTTTAAATAAAAATGCTAAATGTTCAAATAAGGACCAAACCTTTTACAGGTTGCTCAATTAAGGGTCTACCCTTTCAAAACGGTTGAATAAGGGCCTACTGTTTTTGAATTTGCTCAAATAAGGGTATAACGTTAAAAAAAAGTCAAATAAATGACTAAATTGTTCGAATCTGCTCAAATAAGGATATAACTTTTTCTAATATGCTCAAATGAGGGCCCTTATTTGAAAACATTTTTGAAAGTTTAGGACTTTATTTGAGTAAATTTGAAAATGTTAGGTCCTTATTCAATTATTTTGAAAGGTTAGGCCCTTATTGAACCCTTTTGAAAGCTTAATCCCTTATTTGAACAACTTCTAAAAGGTTAGGCTCTTACTTGAGTATTTAACCAAATAATGTAGGCAAAAGAATTGGCATTATGTAGAAATGTTTCTCTTAGACTTGGACAACCTTGGTGTATAAGAACACAAAATGAGGTAAAAGTTATGTTATCATCTATGTTCATTGATGGAATCTAAAGAGGGTTTAAGAAGATTGTTGCAAAGAATTACTCAACAAACATGATATTTGTCTGATTTTATGGGTTTGATTAGATGATTAAATCGAATATCAGATTGTCCTTTTCAGGGATAGAATCATAGAAAGGATAAATAATTAATATATACCCTTTAAATGAGTTAAAATAACATGGAAGCAAACATCTTTGTTTATTACCTTTTCTTTTTACAACTCTATGTTTTGAATATTGCAAGTCTATGTAATGATAGTAATATTTCCCTCGCAAGATTTAGATTTTCTGTTTTGGTCTGTTGCATTTCATTTCTCCTGTTATATGCATGGGGCTTTTATGATGGCTTGACTTCTACAGAAAAGTTAATGTTGGGAAAAAAAATTGGCCAAACTCGAAGTTCTTATATATTGAAAGCTAAAGAAGTTTTTTATGAAAATCAAATGTAATGAATTCTTTATACCATTGTGACAGATTCCATTGTAAGTACCTATAGGACAAAATGACTGCTCATCTTTTTTATTTCAATACTAACTTTCGAAGGATAGTACCAAATGCAGATGATATAATACTCGTTTGGTTTTGCTTGGTGGTTCCATTATGAAGAGATAGGGCTAAGAAGCCTAAGCAAGTATGGGAAATATGCTGCCTATTGGTCCCACAACTTAGGGTTGTAATTGAACGAACTTCACTTTCAATATATGTGAAGGTGGCATCAATATCAAAATGTTAAAAGTGAAGAAACTAGAACGCAAGCTTAATATCCGACATGCTACTCTGAACATCAGTTCTGGAATTATATCTGCCTAATTCTGAGAATTGGTTTTAACTTCTTAATAGAAATTTTAACAATCTGTTAACTTCTTAATAGAAATTTTAACAATCTGTTTCTTTTTCTTAAATTCCTTCTTTCAGGGGACATTCATGGGCAGTATGCTGATCTTCTGCGGCTTTTTGAATATGGAGGCTTTCCTCCTAATGCTAATTATTTATTCCTCGGGGACTATGTTGATCGTGGCAAGCAGAGTCTAGAAACAATATGCCTTTTGCTAGCATATAAGATCAAATATCCTGAGAACTTCTTTCTTTTGAGAGGGAATCATGAATGCGCTTCTATTAACCGGATTTATGGGTTTTACGATGAATGCAAACGAAGGTTCAATGTGAGACTTTGGAAAACCTTTACTGATTGTTTTAACTGTCTTCCAGTGGCCGCTCTAATAGATGACAAAATATTGTGCATGCATGGTGGTCTTTCCCCTGATCTAAAAATTTGGATCAAATTAGGAGTATAACCCGACCGACTGATGTTCCCGATTCTGGTTTGCTTTGTGATTTACTTTGGTCAGATCCTGGTAGGGATATCAAAGGCTGGGGTATGAATGATAGAGGAGTCTCATTCACCTATGGCCCAGATAGAGTCTCCGACTTCTTAATGAAAAATGATATGGACCTTGTTTGCCGTGCCCATCAGGTTAGAAGTGTTTACTCTTTACTTCATTCTTTATGCATCTGAGTGTAAGTGTAGTAGCTGACCCTAATGCTTCGTTCAGGTCGTTGAAGATGGATACGAGTTCTTCGCTGACAGACAACTCGTCACTATATTTTCCGCTCCCAACTATTGTGGCGAATTCGATAATGCCGGTGCAATGATGAGTGTTGATGAAAGCCTAATGTGTTCATTCCAAATTCTTAAGCCAGCAGATAAAAGGTCCAAGTTCATTTGAGGGACATAATGACTTGTACATGTTCCTATGTAGAATTGCTGATGTAAGTTAAATCTATCACTTTTACTAAACCAACTGCTTACTGTATCATGACAGTGGTTGTATTATTTAATATTTTGTTGCAGTCCCACTTGTGATTCAAGGAGAAAAGTTGAAAGATTAGGTCACGCTGGTGTTGGAGTTCTTTGAAGATGCTGACCATATCCTCTCCCATGTCAAGTGTGAACCTTTATCTGTTTAAACTATTTATAGCCATATGAAATCACAAGATAAAGACATGGTTGACATATGGCACCTCTTTTATTTTTTTTATTAGACGTGAAATCTATTGGCATTGGAATTCCGTAACGGCAAAAGTTTCCCTTCTCTTAGGGTTTGTTTTTGAACAAAAATGGTGGCAACTGTGTGTTTTAATGTCAGCCCTATAATCGACGTCTAGCAGCAAGTGACGTAGCAAACCATGTTACGTTTTCGTCCTTTTATCACATGACGTTTCAGTTGGTTTCTATCACTTTGCATTCGACTAGAGGTGTACACAAAATTTGAATATTCGATTTTGTCTAAAAAATATCCGAAACCGGATTTTGAAAAAACCGGTTTTTTTTAAACCGGATCGGATATTTAAAAACTGGATAGTATAACCGGTTTGGAAAAAAATTGAACGACCGGTTTTTTTACCGGATTAAAAATTGGTTTTTTTTAAACCGGATAAAAAATCAGTTTTTTATCCGAAAAAATCCGGTTTTTTTCAAACCGGATAAAAAACCGGTTTTTTATACGAAAAAAAATCCGGTTTTTTAAAAAAACTGGATTTTTATTCGAAAAAATCCGGTTTTTTTTAAAAAAACTGGTTTTTTTGCAAACCGAAACCGGTTACACCGGTTACATCATCCGACCCTCCAAACCAGTTAGGATCTGATCCGGTTTTTTTAAAATTCGGTTTTTGAGTTGGAAAAAAACCGGATCGGTTTTTATTCAATCCGGATCGAATTAAAATCCGATTTTTGTGCATCTCTACCTGCGACCGAAATTCCAAAGCCTTATCAATATTACATTTAACAGGCAAGTGGTAAATAGCTTCTTCTTTTATCCAGATATTCCCATTAAAATATTAATTTTTATGCTAACTCTCATTTCAAATTATTTCTGAGATTTACAATTTTTTTTACCACGTAAGGTAAGAAAAACTGGATGGATCTATCTCACCACATTATTCGTAGTTTCAAATAGTAAAATTTATCCATCTCTTTTTTGTTTCAAAGTGAATCTTCACCTTTTTGCAAATAATAAAATTTATATGGATCTTTTTAAAAAAGAATTAATATATTCGATATGGTATGTGTCAAAGATACATAATTATATAAACATAAGTTAAACTGACAATAATAATGTATGTATTAACATTGTATTTCATCACTCGATAAATACATATTCAAAAAATTTAAGTAAAAAAATTTAAACATTTAAAGAATTTTATTTAATAGTGAATGACTTAAAAAAATCTATGAGCTTCACAAATTTTATTATTTGAAAATAATTTTTTAGGTATTTTAAAATTTTATTGTTTTAATATAATTTTTTAAGTAATTTAATATAATTATATATATATATATTTATTAAATAATTGAATATAAAATTAAAATAAAGTATACAAATGATTTCTTACTATAGAATATTGCTTTATTAAATCATTTGATAATTAAAAGTTAGAAAACGATCCCGATTATAAGATGTTGTATTGTTAAATTTCTCGGCTATTAAAAGTTACAAAATGATCATTTGACTATTCATTACGTTTCAAATTCATTTTCTCTACGGGCTAAGATATAATAAGTTCATTTTTTCTCATTTTTCATTAAAAATTTGATGACAAATTAAGTTGAAAGATATAATAAGTTCATTTTTTCTCATTTTTTGTTAAAAAAATTTATGACAAATTAAGTTGAAAGTTAACCTATTGACTGAGATATAATAAAATATGGTCTCATAATCTCCTCATATCTCAATTAACAAATTCATGAGATAACAGATTAACATCTAGTTCGTTAATCTAGTTCAAATGAACGTGAAAAAGAAACTTAGAAAAGAAACTGACTTGTGTAAAATAAAAATAAAAAAACTAATAGGTGACGTGTGTAAAATAAAAAAAATGTGAATCATAAAAAAAATCAAACATAAATGTTATAATAAAAAATAAAATATTTTTTAATAGATGACATAAAAAGCCTGATAAATAATCAATCATGATTTTTACTAGAAAAAATGTATACATATGAGGGAAATATTAAAATTTTAATATTGTACCTTTAATCTATGCATACAAAAACAACAATGAAATTTAGATTTCTTTTTGTATTGGATCATTTGATCTAAAGAACAACCTTACGTATGTCTTGGTCTAATAAAGGCTTAAAACAAAAATATTTGAAGTGGAAATGGCTAGGTAGGTGTCAAATCCACCACAACAACACTAACATTGTCAGTACTATGCCTGGCCAAGGCCAGCTTCGTGAGCAACATAGAGGCGTCAGTGCACGCCTTGTCCCAGATCCCTCCCCCTTCTCCAATGCTGCACCCCTGTGTCTGTGCCTGCGCCTGCGCCTGTGCCTTCAAACACGTGTGCGCCACGCCACATGCCGTATCATTCGACACCACGTCCCATAAGCCGTCACTCGCTAGAATCAGGCATTCGTCCTCCGCCGTCCGATCCGTAATCGTGACCTCCGGCTCACAACTCACGTAAGGTTTCAAATATTTATCCCCTGTGCCACACAATTCTTTTTGTCATGCTCTCCGGTCATTAGAAAAAGCGCAAGTTACTATGTTTAGTTCAGTCTTTTTGGATTATTTTACCTATGGCTCTGGACATTGCGAGGACTCCAAGCACCCGAGGACCGTCCCAGTAAACGACCCGACCCCCTGCTTCTTGTATCCGATTCAGTTCATCTGGACGATCAGGCTGTTACCATTTTAACATAATTACACATTGTTTTATCATAATATTAATAAAGATAATTCTAAACAAAACACACAACTCTGATCCCTCCAATTCCTTCAGCATTATATGCGTCAATAGGGATGAAACAAACGAAACTAGGATCAATGATATGCATATGCATGGACAAGGACAAGGACAGAACTAAGATGAATGATATGTGTGAGCAGGGACAAAGCTAAGATCAATGATATGAGTGAGCATGGACGGAGGGATCAATGATAAGCGTGAGCATGCATGGACAGAGCTAATAAAGATAATTCTAAACAAAGCACAACTCTGATCCCTCCAATTCCTTCCGCATGATATGCGTAAATAGGGACAAAACTAACGAAACTAGGATCAATGATATGCGTGTGCATGGACAAGGACGGAACTAAGACGAATGATACGTGTGAGATGGGACGAAGTTAGGATCAATGATATGTGTGAGCATGGACGGAGCTAGGATCAATCAATGATATGTGCGAGCATCGACGGAGCTAGGATCAATGATATGCGTGAGCATCGACAGAGCTAGGATCAAATATTAGGAGAGAAAAATTATCTAAATTCAAAATAATAAGGATTCATTAAGTATTAGACTTAATCTAAAAAATCGGAGGGAACGATCAAATTTAACTTTTGTTTAAATTGTTGGGAACCTAAAATGCTATTAGACAAAAAATAATCGGTCTCTGTGCGTGAAGATAATGCTCCTACGTTCTGGCTTAAAGCTAGTCGTTTGGTTAACTAGAAAAGAAATAAATAAAGCTACCTATTTCACGTCAGACTATCTGACCTTAATCGCATGAAAAGGAACCAACAATTTCTTTTGTGTTAACAAAATTTTCTCCGGAGCCAAACAGAAACAGGATATAAGCAAATCTTTTGCTTTGAAAAAGAAAAGAGAGAGGTAAGTACAAAGTGGTAACCTTGTGGTCGGACGTTAAAACAACGGGGATGCCGTTACGACACAAAACAGCTCTGGAATCACCGCAGTTAGAAACAACAATCTTATCAGGCGTTACCACGGCAACAACGGCGGTGGATCCAACGGCATCGCACTCCGGAGAATGTAACTCGCACCGGCAGTTAGCTCCCGCCTCCATACTTTCTTTCAACTTTATCAATTCCCTATCCATGCGCCTGAAGCTACGCTCCATCGCTCCTTTCCACTCTTCGTCTTCACTCTCCAACTCTTCTTTCATCAGTTCATGCAAACGCTCTCTGCACCGTATCGCCACCTGATAAAACAGTAACCAAAAAATTTCAATTTCTTCAACAACAAAAAAGAAGAAGAGATTATACTCCATTTATTTTCATTTCTATTTTTTTAAGATACGTACGTGAGAGCAACCGTGACCGTCGTAGACACCAAAATAGTGGAAGCCAACGGTGGCGGAGTCCTGGCCTTTGCAGTGAAACGACGGATGAATAGCGACGGCGTCTTCCATGTCTCTTCGACGTCCACAAACCGAAGCAACGCCAAATTTTGGATACGATTCAGAATCGATTGCGATTGCTGGCATTAAATGCGATAAACTTGTGTGACTTTTAACTACCTTTTCATTTTTCTTTTTTACATCGGAGCTGGAAGAATTATCTCCATTGTTTTCACGGTCTAGAACATACGCGGCGGCGCAAGCTTGGAACTTGTGGCGTTTCCGGCTATTCTCAGCCTCGGAAGGTGCAAAATCAACGAATTTAAACCTTCTAAACGCCATTCTACGTCTCCTGGCTTGGCGTGAACTGGGTTCGCACGGTGGTGCTGATGCTTCGCCTTCGCTCATAACTCCGCAGCAGATATCCGCCATCACCACCAACAACTAAAACCACCAAACTATTAACATGAAAAGCTCAGCCTTTTTTTTCTTCTTAGTTCAAAAAATTAGTACAAAAAACGGAATGGAAGCAGAGATAGTGGAGTGTGGAAAAGTGGGCTGGGGAAGAAGTGACGAGTGGTTTATATGCAGTATGGGAAGAATAAGATGACACGTATGTAAATAATGTATATTTGAAGTAAAGAGAGAGGGGGGGTGCTACGTGGTGAAGATAGTTCAGTGCATGTAAGCGTAGTGTTTGAGATGCAGACACGGGTTTGTTTACATTTGGCGAGTGCATGCAATGCAACAGAAAGGCCTTTCTACTTTCCATTTTGTTTGAAATTATTCTTGGATTTAAATAACAGTTTGTTATCAAAATAATACTTTTTATATAACAGTAATGGTATTATTTTATATCAATATTATATGATCATGATATTTATAATTATTGTAATAGCGTTCATTATGTTCATAATCATCGTATATGTAATACATTTGAAAACACGATTGCAATTGTAATTTAAATATCACCTCTATGCATATGAGGATCTTGCTATTAAACTAGTGCATGATCCACAACTATTCGAAGGTCAACATTGAAATTCGATGAATTATCTATATTTTATGATGATGTCTACCTTAAAGTTTTATTTGTGTTTGTTCATTTAAAAATTTTGTGTTATTAACGAGTTAATTACATCATATGTTTTCAAACTATAATTCTCATTTTAAATTGGTCTTTAAACTTTTGAATATTCTAATTCCATCCTCAAATTATGACTCTCATTCTAATTAGTCCTTAAACTTAAACATTCTAATTTCATCTCTAAACTATGACACTATTTCTTAATTTGTCCCCAAACTTTTGAATATTTTAATTTCATCCCAATTTAGATTTAGAGATTTAAGTTTTGGGATTTATGGATTTAGGGATTTGGACAAAGGCAAGAGAAATGGTCGGCAGTAGAGATCAAAAAATGAGTGGGTGCTCGTTAGACGATGGTTAAGGTGACCGGTGATGGCCGACGACAGTTGGTAATAGGGGGTTAGAATGAGAGATTTTAGGGTTTTGTTTTTTAAAATTTCACCAAAAAATTGGTTTTTTTTAAATTAATAATATTTTTCAGTTTATTTTAAAAAAATTAAAAATTTCAAAAAATATAAACGCGATACATTTTAAATAACAATCTTTTCTAACGATCATTACGGCATAAACACCTAAAATTGTAACGGAAAAAACGTCAGACACCTACTTCGAGCAAAAATTCTTTTAACACTTAAAAATAACTTTAGGGTTATTAATGGATGATTAGGGTTGTTAAATGTGCACAAACAGAAACGAAAAAAGCCTTAAACTGGACACAAAACTATTTTAATTTAGATCAGCTAAAAGAGTATGTAAATTTAATCTTCAGTTTGATTCAATAAAAACTTTCTTTTATTCGAACTTTTTATTAAGTGAAAAGAAATTAACTTTAAAAAAAAAAGTAAATAATAAACTCGTGAACCAATGATATTCATGCATGAAGGACGTACGGTGCTACTGATATGAAATGAGGCAGATGAAATTTGTGATCTAACTATTTTTTTATATAAATTTATAATAAATATAAGATAATATATATTTTTAAAAAATTAATTATTATAAACACTCGTACATATGATATATAATTTATGATGGTACAAGTATTTTCATATATAATTTACCCATTTTTAGACCGTGTCAAAATTTCTGATCTACTTGTATGTCTATACTCCAATTTTAAAAATTTAATGGGACAATGTAGGACCGACTTGGCATTGGCAACGAGGACGGCCACATTCATGGAGAAAAATGCTTGAATTGCTTAAAAATATTAAAAACGTATTAGAAAACAAAAGGTTGGATTTTATTAACAACTATAACTATACGCAGATCACCAATGAACTTTGCATTGGTTTTTAAGTCTAGTTTTGATACCATTTATAAAGCAAAGATTCTTTACTTATTAGTTAACTTTGTTACTAAGTCATAGAATTCTTTTAACATTATTTTTTTCTTAATTAAAAAAAAAATAAAGGTTCAAACTATATATATATATATATTTACTTTAAGTGTCTAAAGTATTTTTCATTTAATGTAGGCATCTAACATTTTCAACATTATTATTTAAGTTAAGGTATCTAGTCCATCAAAACCGTTAAAAAAATTCTTTAACCGCTTAAAACGTGACATGTGTCGTGTTTATATAATTTTCAAAAATTTATTTTAAAAAACATAAAATTATAATTAAAAAAATCTCAATTTTTTTTGAAATATAAAAAAAGACTTTAAAACTCTAAAAACCATAATTTCAAACTCCTTTACCATCACCGATCGATGTTCTTGCTGCCTTGGTCACCGTATTTTGTCGTATTTCACTTTATCGAACCGGATTTCATTGCATCCTTAACGCATGGCGGGAGAAAGTGTCGTAGAGGATGTTGGTTGCAGAAGCAAGGGGTTTCGATCGTTGGGTGTTCGGTCGGTCACGCGACGTTGAGATTTCAATCGGTTAACAGCGTTGGTGACGGTCAACAGTGGTAAGAGAATTAAAATTAGGATTTTAAGATTTTTTTTTGTAATCTTAAAAAAAAAATTAGATTTAAAAAAAATAATTTAAGCTTTTTTTAAGTAAATTTTTTTAAAATAAATATAAAATGTGACACATGTAAGATAACAATTTCTTTTAATGACCGTGATTGATAAAAAATTAAAAACAATAACGTTAGAAACGTTAGATATCTATTTTACAAAAATACTTTAATTACTTAAATAAAAAAAATATAATTCAATCGCTTTTTTTATTAAGATATTTTTTTAATCAAAGAACCCATCTTTCCATAGAAGAACGATAAAATATATAAAAGTTTCCATTAATTTGTCCTTTGGTGGAATTGAAATTGTCCAAATCCAGGAAAATTACAGATCATTTTCATTTTTAAAGTCTATAAATAAAACCACCTTCCCTATCTTCAAGTTGACCACGTCTCGCTTTCATTTTTCTTTCTCCAAGTGCTTCAATGGAGGATGATCATCAGCCTCCACCAGACAAGGCATCCTCGGGTGAACAAGGAGCAAGATCCTATGACTGCACCTTTTGTAAGAGAGGTTTCTCCAACGCACAAGCCCTGGGTGGCCACATGAATATTCATCGTAGAGACAAAGCTAAGCTCAAACATGCTTCTCCAACTCATGAAAATGCCCTACAATCTTCGGACATCTCGAAGACCATCCCCTCGTATTCTCCGAAACATCCAAGCTCCACAACTAGTAAAGACGAAAGCAGCCATGGAAGGTGGCCTTGGGTTCTTCAGGATGATGATGATGATGATAGCCAAATAGACAAAATCACTCGAATCCGAAAACTACCTTTATTCGATGAAAATCCGGGCAATCAAGTTCAAGAGGGTATCAAGAAAGAGTTTTCATCGAACCAGAGTTCGTCAATATCTGAAGTGGACCTTGAACTTAGGCTGGGACCTGAACCTAAGGATTCATCATCACCAAGGATACTCAAAAAGTTCTTTTAAGTTCTAAATAATATCAATATCATATCATGGATTCATGGTACGTTTTCCCCCCTCCCTTTGTTATTATTATTATTTTTTTAAAAATTGTTGGATGATATAAATATAACCTAAATCTATACTTACCCTCAAACTCTTCATGGATATAACGTAAAGCCACAAACATTTATGATTGTATTTATTGTTTTTTATTCAAATTTGTTCATGTATTTAACAGAATTTAGCTTGTTCAGACTTAAAATATCATGTTTTGTGATATTTATATATAATTAGTAAGGATTTCTCAATTGCTTCTAGTTTGTGAGCAAATCGTTCTTTTCTAGGGTTTAGCTTTGGTTCTATAAATGAGGAAGCGAAAACAATGAAAATATGAAACAATAATGATTAGTAAAGGAATTTTCACCCATGACTAATGTGTTACACATTATTCCAAACAGAAGATTATAAACAAGTGATTCTTGTCAAAAGCTGACAGCCATTAACGACAGGTTTTCAGCAAACTCGTTTCTGATTAACTTCTCAGACCTTATTACATAACATAAACTACACTTTGAAACCTTCCAATCAATTGGCTGGATTTTCTAGGGAGGTTCGGCTTACCTTTCAAGTAATATTATGGCTTTTCAGAGATGTAGGCTTTAATATATCCAAAGTATGATAGTACCACAGCTTGCGAAATATTAAGCGAATATTTGATTATTTTAGTTGGATTTAGACTCTATTAAAGGGGATTTACCTTTTTATTTATTTATAAGAATTTAGCTCTCTATATAAAGAGGCCTTTAGGGGATATCTCATCTTCTACATTTACAACTTCTTCTTCTATTTCTTGTATTTTGATCCTATCATGTGCGTCTAAGCTTTTATTGTTGATTTAAGGGTGAAACGATTCCGATGTAATTTTGTGAGGCTTGTGCTAAACTAGTATTTCTCCTTTAATCCAAATAATCTTCATTTCTTGTTCATATATCTATGAATTCTTGATATTAGTTAAATTGACGTCTTAACTCCATATTGAGTTTATTATTTTTATCCATGAGTTTGTGATCCGTAATTGTCATGAGCGATTGTCATCGTGCATGATAGTCCCTAGGGAAATAAAGGTACAATATTAATTTAATTGTAGCTATCTCGGTTGGTTATTTTTTTAGTCGTTCTCATGTTTATTAATGCTATCATTGAATATAATATGATACGCTATCGTGTCCATTTTTTAATGGTAAGATTTTATTCGAATGCTTGTTGCGGCTTTTTCGAATAAGATTGCTAATCAATTATAAAATGGGAACTATACTTGATGCAGCTTTTTCGAATAAGTGATTAATTAATTGGATACTGAAAATCCAACTTTAAGCTTATGATCAAAATTACAGTCGAATGAAAAAAAACATATTTGAATTGGAAGCTCGCTAAGAATTGATTTTTCATTATTTTTGTTTTTAGTTTGTAACTATTTTCTTTAATTTATTCTGACAAATCAAAACCACCAATTATACGTTTATTACATAAACATTGAGATTCTAATTTAGTAAGATGAGTTTTTATTTTGGAGGACTTTGATAACCTTGTCACTCCCATGCAAAAGAGGTCCTCCTCCATGCATAAGTCAATAGTTGCGTTATTAATGGCCAATAAGTTGCATGTAAAGAGTGGCTAGAGGTTGCTCGTAACTACCTTGACATAGAGGGATTTGTTGTTTTGGTGATTTTGCTTTGGAATATATAGAATATATAGCTTTTTTTATTACATGTATTTTCAGAATTAAAAAATATTTAATTAAGCCAAGTCATAATTTCATTACAAAGTTAATGACATAGTGTCAAAAAAGTTCAATGTATAAAGTTTTAGTTATTAAATTGAAATTTTTTAAAGTATGGCGACCAAAATATGACTGTGAAGAAGGTTTAGTTATTAATTTTATAATTTACCCTAAAATTAATTATTTTTATATGATCTAGTCGTCCCAAAGAGTAATATATGAATGTTGGCTTCAAGAAAGATAATATTGAATTACACTTTTCACCATGACTCAACATGATAAATGTGAAATGATGGAAATATTTCCAAGTAAATTCACTATCTTCCGTAAGATTTTACATGTTTTTAGTTTGTTTCCGATTGATAATAATGTATGTTATTTCGTTGTATGTTTATGTTACATGAATGAATAAATCTTTGTTTAATCATAATTTTAAAGAAACGAGAGTATGTATTTAGGTCATTTTAGTATCTAATGTTATATATAGTATTCGGATTGGATCGTCCTAATAGAGTATCGAATATAAAGTTTCAGTCATAAAAGAATATTTTTGTCAATATATAGTCATACATTGTGTAGAATTGATTCAAAAAAGACATCGAACTATCATAACAGTCACTGAATAGATTAATTATCGTACTTTTACACCACACATTCAGTTGAGGATTATATATGCGTTGATTACAGGTGCTTTTTTAGAAAACGAAAACAACAACAAATAACATTAACCTTAAACCAGTGCGTGTTTCTTAAATTTGAAGCACCTTCCAACAGGTAGAGTTAATTATATCATGTCCCCAAACTATGACTTTCATTTTAAATTGATCTTTAAATTTTTTTTGATATTCCAATTCCATCATCAAACTATGACTCATTCTAAATTAGTCCTTAAAATTTTTTGAACATTCCAACTTCATCTCCAAACTATAACCCTCATTTTAAATTGGTCCCCAAACTTTTGAATCTTTCAATTTCATCCCCGAATTCATCCAAATATGTAATTAGTTTCAACCATAGTTTAACCTAAACTTTACTTCTTAAAACATATAATAATATAACTTGGCCTAACTATTTTATTAACAAGAGATGTGATTAGTATATACACATAGTTTGAGATTAAATTGAAATGTTTAAAAAGTTTGGGGACTAATTTAGAATGAAGGTCATAGTTTGGTGATGAAATTGAAATGTTCAAAAGTTTAAGGACTAATTTATAATGAGGTACAATGCAATTTACTCGAACTAGTATTACTCAAATATTAGACATTATTTGCACAAGCACAAAAAGTAATCTTAAAGAGTGATTCTATTATTGGTTCCAAATGTATTTTTTCTCAGTCATCCTCTACATAAATGGTTTCCTGCTGAAACAAGCCACCAAAAACCTTCCTCACATCAGTTTTCTCTGCATCTTTCACCGTAGGCTTTGGTGCCTTTGGTTTGGGCTTGGGTGCAGTCTCCTTTGCCTTTGGGAAAAACGATCCTGGAGCTTGCTTAACATTGGCTTTCTGTGACGGTAGATTTCTAGCCTTAGCTTGTCCTCTGACAGTGGCAATCTGAACTTTAGGCTGCTCCCCATTAGGACTCTTTTGAACGGCGGTCGCTAGTTGGGAACTGAATTTTTCCCAAGATAGTCCTGTGCTGAAGTCTTTTGCTTTACTCAACAGGCCCTCCACAGAGGCACCTGCAGCCTGTGCTTTCTCTTGTGCTTCTTCAGCTAGTGTAGCTGCCCTCGCTTCTTGCTCCGAAAGCTTTTTCACTTCCTCTTCCTCTTCCAGCTTCTTCGATGCATCAGCTGCCTCGCGAGCCTTCTCAGCAGCTAATATCGCCTCTTCTTCAGCTTTAGCCTTTGCCATGGTTTCGGAATACGCCTTCCTTCTTCCATCCTCGGGAATACCACTTCAAAGCAAGTAACAAGATACCTGAGTTCAAGTAGGATAGATAAAATTGATAAACTAACACCAATTGCAGTGTACCTGAAAAGCTCGTTCACACCCTTTAATGGAGCTGATGGACTAGTAGAAACTTCCACAACCTGTCTCATTTAGCAACCATTAAGATATATAAGTAACCGAAAATTGAACCAGGAAGATAATCCTACTTCAAGCAGGCTTTAAATACTTTGCTTCATGCAACATTTAAACTTTTACATAAACCAGACTCATGGGATCAATCAATGCTACATTTGGTTTCATATCTCCCCTTAGATCAATCGTCTTACCAACAAACTCTCGTAACAAAGGTTTTAAGAAGAAGAAGAAAGAACAAATTGAATGTGTGTAACTTGTTTTCTGCCACGGCTGTGTTGGAGAAAACATCTGCCACTAAAGATGCTATCTGGGATTTTGCAACCTAAACAAAGTTTTCACAAATCTTGAGCATCAAGACAAACAAAGATTCTGATCAAGAAAGAAAAGTTCTTTTTTCCAATGGAACAGAAAAAACTGCATACATTACTTTGTAGTCGTTTGCATCAACGCTTCCTTCAGCTGACACCACAACATTGTAAGAGCTCTCTGCCGAGTAATCTTCTGTCAGGGTTGTCTTTAAGAATGTGTAGCTAACGTCAGTTTCGATTACTTTTTGCAAGAATTCGGGCAGACTTAACGGTTGAGATTGAGAGAAGAGGTTACTAAAGAACTATGTGATGCCATCGAGCACATTGTAGGTAGACGCATTCCCGGCGTTCCCATCATAAACTATTGCAACATGGCCTACGCCGGCTAGTTTAGCAGCTTGAATCACTTGCACGGCATCTGTTGCGGAGACTGCAGAAGTGGGACCATTCTCGCCAGGGCCTATCGTGACGACAACTTTGCTGGCGTTGCCAATGGCTTTGGTTATCGATTCTGCATCTTCCAATATGGATTCGACAGCATTTAGGCGTTTGGATTCTTCATTGGATATGATCTGTAGTGACAAAGGATCAGTTTTAACAGATCAAATTCAGCTCTATATGATGCATAAATGTATCAATTAGCGCTCTCTCTCTCTCTCTTTATATATATATATATATATATATATATATATGTATATCATCTTCTTCAAGTAACATTTTCTATCAACTAATAATATCGCTAAGTGCTAGCCTTGTATTGTGCAGCAAGTTGAGCCAACTCCTGAGCAGCAGCAAGCTCCGGCACACCAGCCCGTACCGAGAAACCCTGGCGCAATAGCGTCTGTGCAATGCGAATGCCGGCCTGCCCCGTTGCTCCAGCGACAAACACGGTGTTCGGATCTTTTCGTCTAACGTTTCCAAACGACAGACCGGTAGAAGGATTAGTGACGATAGGGATCAAAG